TTGTAATAGCAGCAGTTTCCAGATACACCCTCTAAATTGGAACACCCATGAGTTAGAACTTAAGGCCTGTCTCTGCTATCAAAGCAGGCGGTGCTTAAGAAATATAGGGTCCTTAGTGAGTCTTGCCAGGAACAATCCCTGAAATAATTTTGAGATGCCAATTAGTCATCTGTGGCTAATTATTGGATTTGAACTCCATCCCTCTTTTTTTTTAGAAACTGATGAAGTGGATGGAATGTCCATGGATCCTGGTTTCCAAATAACCACTACACACAAAAAGTGGTTTTCCACTGCTACACTGTGGTCATTTAGATTTTTGCACCCCAAACCAAATAGTTCTAGTGAGCACAAGATTCACAAGAACTTGTGTGTTAATAAATGTATTAGTTATTATCCCAAGGTTTACGCACATGAGCATTGTTCACACAGCATGCTTAATCCAGAGTTTAATTAACCCAATCAGCTGGAACACAAAAATGTGCTGAACTATAAGTTAACTACCCAACATAGAATAGAATAGAATGGAAGGGACCTTGGAGGTCTTCTAGTCCAGCTCCCTGCTCAAGCAGGAGAACCTATACCGGGGGTAGGCAACCTTGGCTCTTTTATGACTCGTGGACTTCAACTCCCAGAATTCCTGAGCCAGCCATGCTGAGGGGAAGGGAGAGGTTTCCAAGCTGAGCCAAGCTGGCTTAGGAATTCTGGGAGTTGAAGTCCACGAGTCATAAAAGAGCCAAGGTTGCCTACCCCTGACCTATACCATCTCAGACAAGTGACTGTTCAGTCTCTTCTTAAAAACCTGCAGTGATGGAGCACCCAGCATTTCTGAAGGCAAGCTGTTCCATTGATTAATTATCCTCACTGTTAGGAACTTTCTCCTTAGTTCCAGGTTGCTTCTCTCTTTGATCAGTTTCCAACAATTGTGTCTTGTCCTGCCCTCTGGTGCTTTGGAGAATAATTTGACCCCCTCTTCTTTGTGGCAGCCTCTCAAATACTGGAATACTGCTATCATGTCACCCCTATTTCTTTTTTTCTTTAGACTAGCCAAACCCAAGTCCTGCAGCCATTTTCATAGGTTTTAGTCTCCAGGCCTTGGATCATCTTAGTTGCTCTTCTCTGAACTTTTTCCAAGGTCTCAACATTTTTTTTGTAGTATGGTGATCAAAATTGGTTGCAGTATTCCAGGTGTATCCATAGTATTTCATACTATGCCACAAGCTAGCCAATCACATTTCAGTTGAGAATGCAGTGCAAATCACTTTATATCTTGTTGCTCTTTTTATTCTTCTCCCTTTTAAATAAATCCCAATATTTGTTTTCCTTCTTTTGTTATCATTTTTCCCTTTTCAAAAATGTGGAAACTAGAGGTACGGGACTATATTTTGATTGGAAGTCATCTTTCCTTTCCACAGTATTTATGATATATACCCAGTTCCAATTATTCCTTTCATGGCTAACTCATGTTTTCAGGGGCAGTGGGGGTCTTGGGGTGAGGGCTTCTGTGGGTTGAATTTATAGAATATCATCTATGACAGCTGCAACTACAAGGATAGGTTGTAAGTTCCCCATGCTCACGGCCATTGTAACTTCAATGTGATTTCAAACAGTTGCTGAACAAGTGATATTGAACAGGAACTACCTGTAGCGACATGATGATGTCATTGAAAGAAAGCAGATTGCTTTTGTCAGATTTAAGGGTTTCTTTAAAAGTGGGGATGTGAATCAAAGGACTGTGGGAAAGGAACTTGTTTCCACTCTTCAACTTCCACCCTGCCCAACACAGCCTGATTGCACACATTGGACCACGTAGCTAATGCCCATGTTAGATGATCACTGATATTACCCTTGAGATTACTTTCAAAAGCCATTTTTTTAAAGGCTCCTATTATTATTTTAAAAATAATGTTAATGTGTTGAAAGATGTGTTACATTTAAAGCGTGAGTTTTGTTACTGTTATTTTAAACTTGAAAATTGAAATAAGTAGGACTCTCCTTCTAGACCAATTCCAATTGTCTTGTCCATTTCCTATAAATTGCATTTTTTAATAATGCAAATGAGGATTACTAGAAACAGGAGAGGCCTTTTGGGGTCTCTTCTTAGCCAGAAATGATAGACATGGTAATTAGCTCAAGATCAGAGACCGGTACAAACTCATTAATCCATGAGGGGTCTTTGGTGCTCTCTGAACTTGGTTGGTTTCTTGCAGAAGGTTCATTACCCAAACTAGGTAACATCATCAGTGCTAGACCATTAGTCATTAGTCCACAGGAGAAAAATGCTTCTAATTAATTCAGTGAAAGCTCTTGGTTGTTAGTCCTCTATCCCTTGAAAAATCTACGGTAATTTGTTTAGGGAAAGCCAGCTTCACTACAGTCCAAAGATGGAAGAGGCAAGCCACCCACTTGTGATAATTAATCACTATTCTAGCTAACATTTTTTTTTTACATAAATAATTAACAAAAGGATGTCTCGGGTACAAGAAAGAAAGAAAAACTTGTCTACCCTACAATAGCCTTGTGAAAGAGAGAGAGTTAAATTGCAAATAAAATTTAGTAAATTAGGTGCTGCAGTTAAGAGTCTCTCAGATAAATACAACTGCGAAAAGGTATATAGGAGAATGTTCATTTCTTTGTAAATAATTCCAAGTTTCTCTAGTAGCGCAAGATTTTTTGAAATGTAGCATTTCTATAGCTATCAAAGTTGTGAAAGCAAATGTTGACCTTTGTGTGCTCAACCATCCCTACTCTAGCAGAACAGTTAGGGTAACTTGAAAAGCAACAAAAGTAGTTTAGCCGTAACTATGCAGAGTATTCAAGAATTTTCTATTTTACAGATATAACAACCTGAGATCCTTTAAATGTTACATCAGAACACATCTTAGAAAGTTGAACTCTGATTTTTAAGAACTAATGATAAGTAAGACAAAAAAGCCATTTTTCTGACCTTTGTAAATCTTTCCCCGTTATTTGTCAAAATTCATTAATTATTTCAGATTTCAGAGGTACAATCCTATTGAAAGACAGGCTTTCTATTCATATCAAAGCAACGTAGAAATTAGTGCTGCTGAACATCTGAACCAAAGGTTGATTCCATAACATAAACCATGAAAGAGGACAATAAGCTTTCTGCTGTTATCATGTTCAGGCCTTGGAGTAGGCCTTGGAATAAGACCTATAATGAAACTGCTGTATCATGAGAGACTTTTATCTCTAGGATTCCCTGTGCTTTTCTAAGATAATAAAATACAGTTTTGCAAAAAATAAAATAAATGATATGTGTAAGGATGTAAATTTCGGGTAAGTGTTCTTGATAACTTAACAATTCCAGTTGTAATAGGAAAAGGGGAACTCACTTCGTAAAAATTGGCATTAAGTAGATTTATGATGTTAGCATGAGATTGAAAAGAAAACCATATTTCAGAATCCGTTATTATGCAGAGTGTATATTTTACCCTGGGAAGAAAAAAAATATCTAGGCCCCAAATTATTGTCATAGAGTTCGGGAAGTTTTGGATAATTAGTTCCTCAAGTACAGAGCCAATTGTAGTAGTTTGGATTTCATACAACATATATAGCTCGTTTTATACACATGTAGCGTAACCCCCTCAGAGGCTGCCAAAGCCCAGAGCCTTCTAGCCCTCCTCCCTTCAGTTACGCTTAGCAGTCGCGCTCTCAAGGCGTTGATAGAATGTCCTTTTTAGCGGGAACTCACGTGGAGTGAAGGGGTGGCAGGTTCTTGTCATCAAAGGGGTTTTACAGGAACAAAGATGACCAACACCTAGCCACGGCAGTCAGCGTGTGACAGTGTTTATCAACCCCCTAGCAGTCATGACAATAAGTCAATGGCTTGTAGCAGCTGCTTGGGAAAACAGGGGAGGAGGCCTTCCGGCTCCAGGCAGCAACGAAAAGCACGAGCGAAGACAGCGTTCAGCAGCAACAGCTCGCCCTGTGAGGGCAGCTCCCCACAATGTCTACAGCTTGCACAGGTGAGAATGATCAAAGTTCGGATGGCCGCTGGTCTCCGAAGCAGTAGCGGCCAGCCTCTCCTTCTCTTCTGTCGGCACTCGTAGTCCCAGATCTCTCTATGCCAAATCCCCCCCCCCTTCCTTTCTAGTTAAAACCTGAATTTAAAACCCCACCAAGCTTTCCCTCTTCTCACTTTCACCCTTCCCTTCGCTCGGGATATCCCCCTGTGAAAGAAAGCAATAAAACTCCGCTTTCTCGCTCTCTTTCTCTTTCCCTCTATTTCAGAGGAAAAGAATCACATAAAACCCCATACTCTTCTTCGGCTTCACCTGGTCTTTCCCCAACAACAACAACCACCCCTCCTCCCTTTCCCCTTCTCCTTTTCTTTCCTTCCGCCCGATCCATGCCCGCCACGCCCAAACCGGCTGCAGCTGTCCGAGCTTCCTACTTCCCTCTCTCTGGCCAGGCTCCCGCAAAGGCTTTCGGCCAGCCCCGCTACACACACATGGTTCTAAAACACTGAAAAATAAGATTATAAAGTTGAGTGACGAAGTTGTGATATTTAGTAGTTGTTGCATCAGTGAAATATGTATGGGATGAGTAACCATGGATAATTTCAATACTGAGAGGCTAAAGCATATATTAAATGCAAAGAAATATAATCACAAAACCCATAGTGAAGATAAAATATCTGTTTCTATATAGGGATTACACATGAGTTCTTGCTGGATTGTATTCCGACACATACTTACTTAGAAATCCTACTATGCTTAATGAAATGGACTCCTAAGCAATGTAAACAGGAATGTACAAATCATTCTGGATTTGCTTTGCTAAGATGATCCTTAAGGCCCATACCCCATACTTTTAAAGTGCAGCTCCAGAAAAGATGCTGATTTGTGTATACTGTAGTTTTCAGCTTAATGCAACTTTAAAGTCAGCATGCAGTACTTTCTATATAAATCCAAAGGCGTGACAACTGAGGGTCTTAACATCTACTCAGTCTAGTTCACAAACAAAAAAAAGAACTGCTGTTCTATTATTTTGATAGACTTTATTGAAAAACAATCAGGTCACAATAATATATGCAGACCATTCTGCCAAATATACAAGCTACAAATGCTTGCTTGACAGCCAAAGTTCAGTTTTAGTAGCATACTTGAGAAATGAATAGAAATCCATATAAAACAATATTCAGTTTCCATAGGAACACACAGATAAATGTGACCTCTCCTTCTACTTACCTATCTTGTTACATTTACACATACCCTAAGCTTTCCAAACATTTAAAAATTCTAGGAAGAATTAAGTTAATGGTCCCCAAAGTCCTATAAAAATTCATCCCTAAACTTGCACATTAGCTAACAGTATCTATACGTTAATGCTTGCTGAAGTACAAGCGCCCTGATGGTGTTCAATTCCACTTTCCCAGGCACAAGAGAGTGGCAAAGGGACATCCTGGTCCTCTACTTCTGCTTGAAAACCTTGCTTCTTTATCCGTTCCATTAACTGCCTAACATGGGAGGGGAAGAAAGAAAAACAAGAGTTCAGCACAAATCTAAAAAGCGTAAGATATAATAAGTTCTAAATATACAAATTAACTCTCAACAACTATTTAAAGAATGAAAAGGTAGCTGCTCTACAAAAACTGAGCAGTGAATCTTGAGTTAAAATATTGCTCTGCCCGTGTCATTCAGCTCTTCCAAGTCACAGATTCCCTTCAGTTGCAAGCTTTATTTTGTAAATTGTTGGGTTTTTAAAAGTGTGTGTTATAAAATTTTGCTAGAGGGAGGAAGCCTGGTGAGAAATCAGTTGTAAACAAGGGCACTATACCTTATAGAAAACCCAAACTATGTCCTCTTCACCAATTTTTTCACAGCTCATTTAAATAAAATTAAAGGGACACTCATTGCACTTTCTAGAGAATGAAAAACATAAATGACAAGAGTACTAACCATGCTGTCCTTGACATTACATAGTGTATTGTTGGCCTTTGAAATCCATTGAAGGTAGAAGCAGCTGCCACAGTATAGGCTCCCATGTTTTCAAACAGCATCCAATCCCCAACCTGAAGTTCTGGTAGGCCACAACGCTCAACAATACGATCAAGGCCATCACAAGTTGGTCCCCATATACTACAAGAGTAGACTCTCTCATCCAGCTTAGATTTCTGGGGAAAAAAATAAACACATAATCAATTTGCATAAAGATCAATGCAAGATAATATATTGAAAGCGTACTTTGATAAAGGTACAGAAATCAAGGAATAATCAAATCAAAGAGAATTTATATTCAACTAGAAAGTAGTATCTTTGCAGACTTGCTCAGAAAACAACATTTTCTAGTCCTCATGGCAGATAATAAGATGGATTATATTAACCTCAATAATCAAGAAATGCCCCAGAACAGCCAGGCTCTCTCCTCAAGATGTCTTCTAAATGGTAAGATGATTTCAAAGCAAGATTAAGAAAAAAAAGCTGGTCAGAACCCAATGCTTTTAGGTTATAAGCTAGTTGGGGGTGTACAGAGCATGTAGCATGCATAACCATCGGTATATTGTAAAAGCTTCCCCATCCTACAGCTGAATTTGTTGCTTTTTGCCTGCTATTTTTCTACCTGTCTTTTCCACACTAGGAAATATTATGGGAATCAAGGAACTACAACACAACTTTGGCTAACTATAGGATTATTAATTTAGATTTGGAATCTCTTTGCTAACTTTAGTTGGGAATGTTGTGTTGATTACTGATGTGTATATCTAATTAGTTGTCTTGGGCAACTAAGACTGTTGTCTTGGAACAACTGTTTCAGGTTTTGATTCAATAAACTTTTCAAATTGTTCTACAGCATTGTTGAGTTCTGTGGTAATTATGCCAACGGATAAAAACCCTGAGGGAAGAAAATAAGTCCTCTTATGATTTTCCTCTTCCCAAGACAAAACATAAATAAAACTGCTTAATATGGATTTTGAACTTTGCTCTACTTCCACTGCATCATGCTAAAATAAGAAATGTATACAGTAATTATAGTTTTCCTGAGTGATTTCTCATTTTCTTTTCCTAGAAAGGGGACGCATTACTGTACAGAATCTGGAGTTACTAAGTTGTCTGTCAACACCCGTTACCTAAAGCTATATTCCTATAAACAAGTTATATAAACATGTAGTCTGTACCTTTTGCAAAACTGGCTTAACATGTGCATGATCATACAAGATGCAATTAAATGATCCATATACTCCATCATTAACATAATACATAAGAGTTTTGTCATTCAATTCTTCTTCATCTATTTGGAGAAAAAAAATGAACACTTTTATTACAGGTAGAAATTCCAATTCTGAACTTTCTGCCATATTTTCATTTATTAAAAAAAAAATCAAGTATGGTACTAAATCAATATTGTTAGTCTTTGCATTCAGGTAGAACTTGAATTACGACTACAACTGAACTAACAATTTCTGTTGCTAAGCAAGAGAGTTAAGTGAATTTTGCCCCATTTTACAACCTTTCTTGCCACAGTTGTTAAGTGAATTACTGCAGCTGTTAAGTTAGTATTACAGTTGTTAAGTGAATCTGATTTCCCCAGTGACTTTGCTTTGTCAGAAGGTCTCAAAAGGTGATCACGTGATCCTGGGACACCGCAACCATCATAAATATGAACTATTTGCCAAGCATCTGAATTTGGATCACATGATCATGGAGATGGTGTAAGGATCATAAGGGTGAAAAACCATTATGTCACTTTTTTCAGTGCCGTTGTAACTTCAAATGGTCACTGAATGAACTGCTGTAAGTCGAGGATTACCTGTACTTTTTCACGTATGCAAAGTTTCACCATTCACACAGGAAAAAAAGATGGCAGGCCTGCATTAAGGACAACTGCAAAATACCACAATTATTAAAAATGGTGTGTGTGTGTGTGTGTGTGTCAGAAAACAAATAAGGCCAATCATCCCTCTACTTATTTTAAATACTAAAAAAGCTAGATAGGAAAAAGGTATCTGGATGGGCCGTTTCTTGGTTCCCTTTGCAGTTTTTTTTAAGCAGTAACAAGAGGCCTTTATAGGGAAAGGGGGACAGCAATACCAACATTTTTATACAGTTACTAGCTGTACCCGGCCACGCGTTGCTGTGGCTCAGTCTCAATGCGCCATTGTGCATTCATCCCAAACAATAAGTTTGCATTTCTGCAATACTTTTCTCATGCCGGATGCTTTGGAAATGTTGCACGTGGGAGTTTCAAAATGAATTGCATGTTCAATGGCAATTTCAAAGCATCCAACAGATGGCGCTGTTTTTCAAAAAAGCATGTTTTTACCTGTCACAGGTGTGACATCTATATAATAGTAGGTATGTAAAAACACGCACGTATTCGAATGCAACGTTGTGTCAAAATTTCAAAGCAATCGGTGAAGAACTTTCGGAGATTTAAGATTTTGAACAAACGAACATTTACATTTTTATTTATATAGAAGATATAGAATATAGAATAGATATAGATGGGGGGAAATCCTAAATAATAGCAAAAGGAAAAGTTTCTTTAAGTGTGAAGGTTAACATATTCTCGTTAATGTGAATTCCATAAGCAAACATAATTCAACTGCTTTCCATATTACAAACTAGAAATTGTGAAACATAAGAGAACTCTGTGCTGGGCTTTAAATGACAACTGTACCCTACTGTCTTCCTGATTCTAATGTAGCAAAGAGTGAAGTGAGAGAATATTAATACCCGGTCTTTAATATAACTGATTGCTTTTCTCTCTTCTTGGCTCCCCAGTTTTGGTGAAGTTTTTATTTCTTTATGCCTTCTTAGCTATAACATTTCTAATTTTAGAATTAGAAATTGTAACTGGAACTTATTTTTCCAGTTATATAAAAAATCAACATTATTATTACATACCATCAGATCCAGTCTGTTCCTTTATTACAATCTTCTTCGCAATTATGTTAACAGCTAGTGTAAAAGCTGATGCAACATAGTATCTGCCGGGTTCAGCAATAATTTTCACCCCAGAATCAGGAGGAAAATACTTGTCCAAAGCTGGATTAATTATGTTAGTTATCTTAAAAGTGAATCAGAGAAAAACAAAAATTAGAATCAGTTTTTACATAAAAAGACATTTTTTTCTGTATCTTTACATTTTAGCTAGCTTTCTCCGTTAAGTTTTTACTCCAAGAGATTGCGAATCAAATGACAGGATATATGAAAAAACACATTTGAAACTTAGATGTTACATTAAATGTTATGCTCTTTTTTAGGGAAAAGTACACTTATGCATTTTTTAGAACAGAGGTTGAAATAATAATAGTTTACACAACAATTTGATCATGACTTTTAAAGTTTTCTCATATTCAGTAAATTTCCAGATTCAATTAGTTTTGTAATATATTTTTGTGCATCTGTTTCAGCTATACATGTTCTTTCATGTTAGATTGGTCAGATAAAATTAGATGGGAAAAATGGTTTTATCATCCTAACTCCTCAGATACATTAAAAGTCAAGATTTCCATTCTAGTACATTAAAATATCTAATTTAATCTATCCAATTCAAGCTTTCAGTTTAATACTTAGTAACAAAAATGTTATTGAAATACATGTAGACAATTCCTGGGAACACTTTTTCAAGCTACATAACTGGCTATACTACTGCTTTAAAATACAGGAATTCAAGATCATACAATAAAAATCCAGTGTTTGATTTTATCATAAAACAACTTGTTTTAATTTTAAAGATATACTGTCAACACTGCATATGCTTAAAAAGAAAACCAGAATCAAGATGACTATGGAACAGAATTGTGAAAGTTTCTGTGTGAATCAAAAGTAATAACTATGTGTGCATGTTATGTGGTTTAAAACAGTCATACCTCTTCAAACTTAAGTTTTACATCTTCAGAGCCAGGAAAGCCACCGCCAATATCAAGCAAATACATGTTGAAACCAAGTTCAGCCTAAAATGCAGAAGTATTAATTTAATAATGTTCCTAAGGCACCAGTCAATTTTATTACCTTTGTGTATCAATGGCTCCATAAATACCAAAAGGATTTGTTAACTAAGCAATTATAAAAAATGTTGTTTTAAACAAGATATTTAACTAATTCAAGATATCAGTCTACTCGATTCATAAAGAATACTAATTATATTTTAATACTTTGTATTCAACAATGAAGTAGAAACTTCCCAAGAATCTTATTAACGCTCAAATAAATTAGACAAGTGCTTAGGTTGTACTTACCCCCATATCGAAAACGCAACGTGCATCAGAAATGGCTTGCACAAAAGACTCAGGATCTGTACATCCACTTCCAACATGGAAACTTGGGGGGAAAATTGGGTAGAGTTTAGCCATTTTTAAAATGAAGCTAATGGAAAGAAATAGGAGCATTTTTCCATTATTTTTTTTTAACTTACCTGACTCCAATAATATGTAAGTCAAGTTCTTTTGCTCGCTCAAGCAACAACCTGCTGTTTTTTAGTGTGGCTCCAAATTTTACACTCAGGCGACAAACTGCTTTTGAGTCATCTGTTGCAATTCGTAGGACCAGCCTAAATAATAGTTTAAAATTAATAAAAACTCTTTAAAATTAAGCATACGCATTTGTATGTTTTAAAGAAAAAAAAAATCTCTCGAGTATTTTAAGGAGAATAGCAAATCCTTTTTGCCAAACAAGTTGCACCATGTCTTTTTCTCTAAAAACAATGAGCAAAACATTAATCCCCTCTAATTCACAAACTAGTAATTTTATCTCAGTTTTTTTAGTTACCTATAAAGACCAATAACAGAAAACCATCTGCTTGCAAAGATATCTTACTTGGCTTTAGGGTGGGCTCTTGCAATTTTCATCAGCTCAACTTCACTATCAAAAGTCATCATCTGTACACCGTTATTTGCAGCATGCTTAATTTGAGAGACCTGCTTGCATGGATTTGCATATATTATACGTTCCGGGGACACTCCAGCACTTTGGACCAGTTGTATTTCAGTCTAGAAGAGATTAATTTCATATGCACATATATAAAATCTCAAATTCAATAAACCAAAGATTAATCATTTAAAGTTAGGCACTTACTTTACTGGCACAATCAAATCCTGCCCCAAGACTAGCCAGAGTCTTCACTATAGCAATGCTGTCGTTGCATTTGACAGCATAGAATGGAAAAACTCTAGGAAGGGCTTTGTACCAACGCAAGTGTTTTTTCAGGACATCTCCAAGGTCGGCAACATAAAAAGCATCTTTATCATCCTAAGGACAAAGACAAGATTCATAATCGAACACACAATTGCCAACTGTTGAACATTATGAATAGTTCCAGGCATTTTTTTAAAAATGTTAATTAACTAATATACTTACTGAAGAAGAAACTTCATTTATTTTTTGGTCTACAATATCCTTTGCAGTAAAGCCTTCATCAAGGAAACTAAAGTTGAATTCTTCACCACTAAAGCTGTTCATCTTGTTCAATGTTCAATTACACCAAATTGATTTTCAATGGAACAAACTGTAAACAAAAAAGATTTTTTAACTCATTATCTGAGTCAGTCAAGTGAAATAAGAACTACAGGAACTTGATGATACATTCTTTATTGTTCAACTAACATGCAGTTTGACTCAACACCATAATAATTAGATTTAAAAATTGAATGCAAGTCACATAGTCTATTTGTGCTCATTACTCTGAAACACCATGTATATAGTCTGATAAGCACTAAGGGGAAAGTCTTGGTACAATTATTTCTAGTAACATATCAAATTATCAACACAAAATACAATATGCAATAGCCAAAAACAAAATCATAACATGGAATTTAAGTGACCAGTTCTGTGAACTAGCTGCTTCATGAAATTCTGAAACTGTTACAAACGCCTAGTTTTTAATACCTCCAAGCCCCTTAATTGGGATTGCAAAAGTACAGATATCATTGGCATATAAATCACAATCACAAGTTACAAAATACTACTGAACTTTATATAGATAATTAAAAAAAATAAGGCAACTGGGAGAATGTGGATTTATTTATATCAGTGGTAGCTATAGGTGGAATGTGATAGTAGTCTACAAGCTATCCTCCATACTTGGAGCCAAATGAGTGCGAACTACTCAGAGTATAGATATATTCTGAATAGAACTCAGTCTTATAGAATTACTTGTCAAATGCAGAATTCTTGAAATCTCAAAAGCTTACTGAGAAACAGTGTTAAAAAAAATTTTAAATGTATTTTTGCTGCCTTCTTTGCACCAAACTAAAGCAGCTAAAATGTTTAAATGCACAGTAATTTTCCAACACTTCTTATATTTTGAAAGTGTTTCTTGGCAATCAATAAGAATATTAAAAAAAACAGTCATTTTATCAAAAAAGCAAGGAAAGTAAAATTCCTGAATACATCTTTACTGACTGTATTAAATGTTGTTTTATTACAACATCTCTACATAAGTTATGTGTCTCCCTTAAATTCTACGAGGCTGCAATCCTAGACATTCCTGGAAGTAAGTGCACCATATGGGTTCAAAATTCATACTGTAACAGTAAAATTTCCACAACAAACCCAGAATATACTGAGCGTATTATTGTTCATCATAGAACCTCTTGAAAAGCCAATTCAGCTGAGCTTTCACCACAGTACATTAACAAGAATGCAAGAACATATGCTACTCCAGTTACTGATAGAAGCACTATCTTTATTGTAAGCATATTCCTCTTGCAATCCTAAGGTACATTTATGTCCCAAAATTTCTTTATGGTGCCAAATAGTATCTTATATTTATGTGTGATTTTTTTTTTCTTTGTGGCACTGTCCTACAAGTGCAGGATCTACTTTTTTCACACCACCTGAGCATTGGGCCACTGGTTGCAGTAGGAACTGACCAACTTATCACCAGAGCCTCATGTAGTGGGCTGAAACTGGTCCAAAGTTACCCAGTCAGCTTACATTCTTAAAATGGGACTGGAACTCACATCGCCTGGTGAATTTGGCCCCAAAATCACCCAGCTGGTCTCCTGGTTTCTAAGGTCTCCTGGGGCTCTCGTTGATCTCAAAAACTCTAAATAAAAGCAGCTCTTATTTCACAAGTCTCTGTTATTCAAGTTTATCAGGGGTAGTCAACCTTGGCTCTTTTATGACTCGTGGACTTCAATTCCCAGAATTCCTGAGCCAGCTAAGCTGGCTCAGGAATTCTGGGAGTTGAAGTCCACGAGTCATAAAAGAGCCAAAGTTGACTACCCCTGAAGTATATCATTATTTCCCAGGAGTAAATCTCTTTGTAAGGCTGCATTGCAATTAACCAACCTCATTTACATCAGAAATACCTCATCCATTTATCTCTTCACGCCAAGTAAACTCAAGCCACAGTAAAAAAAAAAAAACTAGGCCAGTCCTCTCTGCCTTGGGGCCACGTCTGCCTTTTCACCAAGCCGAGTTTGAGAGCCTCAGGATGAGCAAGCCTTCCCCCCACCACTCCACCCCAGCTTCTTGACGTTACGTGGCACGGCCCAGCTCCGAAGGGGAAAGGGGAGGATGGAAAAAGAGGTCAAGAAAATAATAACTACAGCGTCAAGAATGCATTTTTTTTTTTTTAAGGACAACGCTTCAAAAAAATAAAAATAAAAAATCGACAGGCTTAAAAAGCCAAGGCGGGCAAGTCCGACAGCCGGGTTCTAAGCGGCTCCTGAAGTCGTTGCGGAAGGCAGGAATGGACGGACCACAACAGCAGCAATTGTCATTGTCTTCTTCGGATTTTTACCAACAGCTATGCAGGCCGCTCTCGTGACGTTTCTCGTTGTTGTTGTGGTTTTTTTTTTCTCTCTCTTCCGCACCGTTTCAATCCTTTCCAGCGCTTTACGGGTTCGCTGCAGTGGAAACCGCCAAGAAAGCCGCCGCCGCAGTGTTTTTTTTCATTCTCAACTTCTCCTCCCCGCCCCTCCAAAATCGAGCCAGGAATTGGGGCTGGGGGGGGGGGGGTGGTCAATGCACCAGCCGCCCCCTCCCCGCCCCGAGAGTCAGGCATATTTCCCCGAAACCTCGTCTCTTTCCCTCCCCCCCCCACTCCTCCTCCCGTGGCCGTAACCGCCAAACCACCGCAATGGGGTAAAGGGCCTGGCCGCGGGGGGGTGGGGGGAAAGGCGGCGTGTTAAAAAGATCTACATATGGGTCAAATTAAAGAAGCAAGCAAAAAAAAAATTTGGCTTTGGAACCGGTCCTGGTTATGAAATGCATCTACCCGGGAAGTAATTCAGGGGAGCTTTTTCAGGACAGCGATCGGGGCTTAAGTCAAGGACGCCGTAGCTGCAAAGCTCCCCGCGTCCAAGTGATTATTTCCACGGGTGCCGCGAGATCGCTCTGGATTTCCCCCATCGGATCGATCCTTTCCACGCCCGTCCCCCCCCACCAGCCCGGCGGCCTCGGCTTTTGCCTTCCGCCACTCCATCCACGTGGCCGGCCCGCCGCCCGGCCTCTCCCCCTCTCACCTCACGCGACAGCGGTCCCTTTTCAGTAGTAGTAGTAGTGGCGGCGGCGGCGGCAGCAGCAGCCTGTTTTATCCTGCGCGGCAGCTGGTGGAGGCCAAGCGGGCAAGTCTACACCCCCTCACGCCTCGCGGGCTGGGCCCTGAATAACACCGGCGAGAAAGAGCCCGCCGCCGCTGGTGCTGGTGCTGGTGCTGCTGCTGCCGCGCAGGTGAGCGGCTGCTGCCGCCGAGAACCTCCCGACGTCTGCGCTTGACAAAGCCAGACAAGCGCCGCAGAGCCTCTATTTATAGGCCCCGGCCTGGTTACTATGACAACGCACCAGCTCAAACCAGCCCCGATCGGCTGCGACCGGGCCGCCGCGTTCGCCAACTGCTATTATGACGTCGGGCAGAGGTGGCGAATGTGGCGTGTGGCCGAAAGGAGATTCTATATATACACACACACAGAGAGAGACACACACACACACACAGAGACACACCCGTTTCCTAACCCCCCACCACCACCACACACACATTTATTTATTTTTACCCCAGAGACGTTGCATAGAAGAAAGTGAGCTTCCGGCCCAGATTAAAATTTTCACACATGCGGCATTAGTGACAGGAGGTTACCATGTAAACTCGGGAAAGGCAGTAGAGCTTCTGGTTGTTTCTTTTTATTGACACAATAGTATCTGTCTTTTCTTCAGCTAATTATTATTTATTCAATTTATACATTCGTGACGCTGGCCCGCTTCCAATTAAAGCATAAACCACGGCAACCCCACCCCCAATAAACCCCCATACAACCAATGCAACAAGGCTAAAATGCCGGCCGGTTTGACGCATTTGTTCAAACCTACTTTTGTTCAACCCAAATTACGCAACAAGTCCTCGTGGACGGTGAGCCGGAGAGTAACTATATACATTAATTCCGATAAAAGCACGGACGACATTTTACACCTTCAAATATAAAGCTTATATGTGGCAAGTTTTGGAGAGAAAATAGAGAAAACGGGTCTTAAACCCGTCTCCATTTTTTAAAAATTAATATTTCCTTGCTTTTGCCTCCACGTGGATGTTTCTGTCATTTGCAGTCGAGAATCGGAAGTCTGAGCCAAAAATTCTCAAGGCTGAATGCATCTCTTGGTACCAATTTTCTCTTTTCCCCTCCCGTCGAATCTTTCAGCAACGCATTTCTCAAGTCAGTAATTACGCATTTATCTCAAATTTTTAAAAGGCAGAGGAGGGAGTAAACATGCAAATTAATACTCAATTGTCCTAAGTTCAGACAAGCAGGGCAGTTCTGAGTTTAAATCGGGCCATAGGCTAGAGCAGACTCCTACATTTATGGACCTTCAGAAATCTTGAATTCTCTGCTGGTCTTTGACCAAATAAAAGTTTGATTGATGCTTGTCTGAACCATTACTTTGGACTAAGCATTCTTAAAGAAACTACTCTGAAGCCTGTAGGAAATCACCCTTAAGTACACAGTCCCCTTGTATTGTTGGTTGAGTAGCTTATTTATTATTTGCTTACTAGGATTTGTATGGTGTCTAATACATTATGTTATGTAATACAAGAATAACCGAATCATAATAATTTTGACCTGGAGAAAATATTCTATGGACGACTAAACTTTGATCACACCTTTCAAATGTTGAATGTTGCCTAATGCAAATCTGTTTGATTTTAATGACCTTAAAATATTAATAAAAAAGATCAGAATCTGGTTTTGACACTGGACTGCCTGCAATGACTCTCTTTAGGCAAATGAGCTTCCAGGAAATTATTGTGGTAGAATTCCTTAACTTCACCAAAGCGAATGTTTCAGGGCATTGTCAGCTATGGAAAAACTCCAGGCTAAAGGTACAGATCCTTCTAATCTTAGCAGGAAAGCCATCTGATGCACATCATCTGGCTTTCTAATTATAGAATCCAAGAAAACCAAAAATCAGGTGTCTATGATTTTGTCTATTTTGTTGTGTACCAATAGTTTTTCTATTGATAAATCGGGATCAAATCAAATATTTGGCAGATTCAAATAAACCATCAGCCACAGATTCTTTTTCTAGATCTATGTTTTTGGGTTATGGCAGACCACATGAAGTGGATCTGTGGCTTTCATAAATCTAGGTAGATGTTCTAATATGTATTTTCATATAAATTACTGAGGACATATATTGTGTATTTGATTTTGTGCCATAGCAGGATTTCTAATAGTATTTTTGATACTGACAAATATATACATTTGCATATGTATGGTCTACGACCAAGATCTAGGATTTACAAAAGAACAGTTCTATGGAACTACATTTCCATTATTGTTAGTGCCATCGATGAGCATCTGTGTATAGAAGTCATGGGGATCCATGTCTATCACCTTTGATTTTGATTTTGCAATACATTGGTACAATAAAGTTTAATGCCTATAATTTCAATACAGTCTATCTACTGTATATGAATAACAGCCATCTTTAGAGCTTTGATTTTGAAAGCCTTAAACAGAATCTATATCAGATCCTATAAGTATCTGCCTCCCAAATGTCTAACTTTGACACTGACATTTAGTTTGGATTATGTGCCATCAACTCTTGGCACATCAACTCAGATTTCTCTAGCTCAAACTTTTCTTTCTCAAATTGCATGTTTTGCACATCCTTTTTTTGCCTCTACTAACTTTAAAATGGAAGCCTACCTTTAATGTACTTGCCAGTGCATGGTTTAGGAGGAAAAAAAAGTAAAAAGCAATTGAAACATCTACTTATAAGATTTCAGTAGCACAGAAGCTTACATTTTTATACTTACAAATTTCTTTAAAAACCATTTTTTCTAATTCTGATTAGTAACTTCTAACATTGTAGGATAAAGTAAGGGAGCACAGCTTAGAGACATTCAAGAACAGGCTATACATTATATATACTTAATATACACATATACATGTATCTAAGGATACAAATCATTGGAGAAAGGCTTCAACTGATGGGGAGGGAAAAGCCTGTTGAATAGTTCTATCTTTATTTACCACTAAATATTGCCTCCCATATTACAAAATATATTCTGTAATGTAACAAATATATTTTAAGAAGACAAATGATTTATATAGGTTTGATTTTTTTTAAATGACAAGTTATGAAATACATGTTATGAAGTAACAAGATAACATGGATGCATTTGCCTATATCTGCACTTACCTGTACGTGGTTTTAAATCAATAGAGGTTTAATGTGGGACACCAAGACTTGCTTCTCAGAACTTACTCAAAACCTATCTTTACAGCATGAGGTTATAATAGCTCTTGAAGTAAACCCTAACAGCTGGTCTTTGATTATTTACAACTTACACATGGCTTTTGCTGTCTTAACTAGCAGTTGAGAGAACTTAATCAAATCTCATTAAAATCCCTCCTCATGTCTTCAGGGGAAAAAAAAGTTATTTGTGTAAAGTTGCTGAAAGCTACCTTTTTATCTTTGTAATTTTTTGACTATTTCCTGCCAAAATTCATTCATCATTTCAGATTTTAGAAGTACAATTCTGCTGAAAAATAAATTATTTCTGTTCACCTCAAAGCAAAGTAAAATTAGTGCCACTTGCAAGTGAGCTAAAGAGGTTATTTCTGTAACATTATCTAGTGTCTAGTTGGCTTCTTGCTGATATTTCCTACAGCCTTGAAATAAGGTCCTGTAATATATTTTCTATGTCACATGGGGAACCTTTATCTAGAGGAATCCTCTTATAGATGGCAGAAGACTATATCCTAAAACAGAAGAGACGAGGATCATCTATGTATTTGAACCTTAAAGAGGAATTACAGTGTAACTTCCAACCTCTCTTTAAATTAGAGGTGTCCAATCTTAGTAGCATTAAGATCTGTGGACTTCAATTCCCAGAATTTCCCAGCCAGCAATTCTGGGAGTTTGAACTCCACAAATCTTACAGTTGCCAAGCTTGGACAACCCTGGTTTAAATGATACCATTCACTACCTATCCTTTGCATCTTAGGATTCCTCTTCACAAGTTCAAGTGCTTTTCTTCAGGAGGCAGAAAAGTATGCTGGCATAAATTGTGCTGCCCTGATTACTAATGCCTGTATGGCCTCAGCAGTGCTTTTTTTCTAAAAAAAAAAAAAAAAAAAAAAGATGTCAGAACTCACACACGTCATACAACCCCTTGCCTACCCTACAAGGTTCCATCCAAAAAAGGTGCCGGAACTCTGTTCTGGGCATTCTATGAGAAAAAAAGCCCTGGGCCTCAGGCACAAGGCCAACAAATACTGCTGCTACTACAGATCCACAGAGGGACAAGCTAAGAGAAGCCATTGGTAGATTTCCTTGGTTTTGTTTCCACTCCCACCAAAATATTATCAGCTGATGCAAATCACCTCCATCAATTGCTCTCTGTAGTGCAAGATGGAGGCAAGGCTTAGAGAAGAAGTAAGAAATGTGATGTAAAGCAAGCAATGGAAAGACAATATCCCAATTTTCTGTGGGAGCCATGATCTCTGAACATTTGCTTTATTCTCTCTGGCCATCCTTCCTCCTGCTTGAATGACCCAACCTAGTACTGCTGTTTGGCCTACGGGAAGTGCTGCCCTAGTGAGTTCAAAAAAACACAGCGGACATCTGGAGATGGTTTAAAGACAAGTAGGCTAAGGCAGCATAGCTCTTTCCCCATTGTCATGAAGTGCTTCTATTTCTCCCAGGCTGCATAAAAAAAGATCTGGACTAAGCCATATCTATAAAGAATCCCACTTACAACTATTGCTCTGCAAAACTGGATCTCAAACAGGCCGTCCTTATTCCTCTGATTCTTTTCTTCTGATCTGAACATTCCCTGCTGTCCCAAATTGTCTCAGTCCTTCAAGATAGTGTAGTTCAGACAGGAAATCCAAACCATGACCACCAATACACCTTTTATGGTGACAGCATCTTGCAAGTCTGAAAGCATTTCCTCCCTCCCCTTGCCTAGAGAACTAGGGAGGATCCTGTTTGAGATGCTTTCCCTACTCCCGATCATTCTGTGGGCTGAGATATCTCTTATCTGAAAATTGCC